TCCCGCTGGAGGGATAAGCTATCATTTTAAAGAAACGCGTCACTTCAGAGGGTTTGAAATTACATCAGCATATAGCCAATTACCTGACACGCTGCCAGGTTTCGGTTCTTTGTTTTTCAGGGGCTCACCTAGGACATGCTTAGCGTATTTCGTAAACCCGCATGTCGTATTGTAGGGCACTTTAGCATTTAAATCGCCACACTTTCGACTCTTCCGTTTGACCTAACCTAAGTATGAGAACTACATCAAATCCTTATTCGCGGTGCTTTGCAATGGATGTTCTCAGGACCATAAACAAAACCATTCGATTTCTGTTCCACGGTAGAGAACCGTATCGCTGTTCTAAGGCATATGCAGGTACATCAGCTGCATAAATGATTCTGTAAAGACAGTTGTTTAAAGTAGGAAAGCAAACCGGGGAAACATTCACAAACGCCTGCAAGGGAGGGAAAAGATTTAGCCCAAGAACATTGACACTTCTCTGGCTTTTTGGCACTGCTGACAAGTTCTCACTGAACGCGGGGGTTTTTGTTGTTGTTTTACAGACATAATGTACATCCCAACAAAATTAATATTGAGTTAATAAACAGCACCAGTCCATACTGGTTTGAAGTAATAAAATGTATAAGAGGTGTTATTTAATTCAGCTTTCCAGCAACATCTTTACTTCAGGAAATTTAGATTAAAAAGATCAACACTTCAAAACTTACTAATAAAACTTACTAATACTTCAGGGACATAAAAATGTGATGGCATTATATAGACAAGCAAAAATTACTTTTTATGTGTGCTCCCGTTACCAGTGAAGTTTCTCAAGTCCCCTAAAATCCAAGAAAAGGCACTTTTCCAGCACTCCCGGCGGGCGACTAGATTTGAACCAAGTGGGAGTAACTTCTAAAGCTAAAAAACTCATGTTTAAACCGAGAGCAGGGTTTAAGTAAGTTTTTCATATTTCACTCTCCCTAAAACCGGATATGGTATCCTCACCCTGAAGCACACATTGGGCTTCCAGCTTCAACCTCCGAGCTTTGAGCAGCCTAATAAAGCCTCTTACTTTAACACAAATACAGAAGGAGGTCTTCCCTCAACCATCTTGCTTTGCAGGTCTGCTCTCAGGACAAATTGCACTAAATTGTCTGCGTGCACATGCCAAAGTTCTGTATTTGTGTAATATTAGGTATTTGGTAAGTTTACTTTCTCAAAGCTAAAATACCAGGGCGGAGCCCTAGCATTCTGGTCAGCTTCCAAACCAGGCCTGCAGAGGTGGAAATGCAGCATCTTCATCCAGACCTGCAGCTGCATTTGCATTGCTGGAAGGGCATCCCATGAACACAGTAATCCCCCATATATAAGCTAAAAAAATCCACAACTGGAAATGCATGTCATGTTGAAGTTCTGATAAACCACTGATCTAATTATTTAAATATCTGATAATATCTTTCAGGGATATTTTCTTTGGACCAAAGATATCTTTTGTGATCCCTTGCAACCGTCAGTGACGGACATCCAAGTCTGCTGGTGAAGACAACAGCCATCATCCTACAATCACGTAATAATGCTTTCAAGGAGAAAAACAAAACCACTACCAAAAAACCCCTTCCTTTCTAACCACAGGACAGTGCTTCTTTTTACACTGTAGAAAAATTTCCTTCCTGTACCTTTTTGGAATCTCAAGTATGTAAGATGTTCCCCTCTCAAATTTGGTAGCTGGCTTAATTTCCATAATGGTGCTGAAGACGGTACAAGCTCTTAAAGCATCCGCCAGCAAAAAGCCTAACTCTTGTTATTCGGCACAACATTCTCAACTAGGTTGTACAAAGAAACTACAAGCCTGAGCCTTCACGTCATTAGGAACGTGACTCTGGTAGCAAACCACAGCAGTGCAGCCTCCTATTGCTTTATTGCCATCACAGTGTTGTTTTAAGCTGAAGCTACTCAGTCCTTGGTACTTCTGCAGACAGGCTCCCATGTTCTATTTAGGTATCTTAAAACACATGCAATTACAAAGGCAAACTTTCACCATTCGTGTTTGAAAATTCCCCTGGAGGGGGGGTGAGGGGAAGTAGTCAAAACTCAAATTAATAGTACTAAAGCACGCTTAGGTCTTAATTACATCTACCTGGTCACCTGCATTACCTATGCAATCTGTAAAACCTTAAATTGCTTAATCTTAACATTGAACATTTAAAATACTACAACAGTTACAGTAGTGTGTGTGTATATACACACGTACAGAAAGACGACTAAAGAAGATGGGACTAACGCAAGGTCTGCTAAGGCAACATAAAAATCCACACTTAAGCAGCTTTTTTAATCAAGCCTTGTTTGAAATACAGTACCCCAGGATTAAGTGGAAATGCTGGCTTTTTATTTTTAGGCTAGCCCTGTAAGGAAATAGCTAGGGAATTGAAGACAAAGAGGTATCTCAACATTTTAGAGGTAATCATCTTAACGTTTAAGAGGTACCATGATCTAGGCTGTAGATATACAGTCACCTCTCAACACCTGCCAATACCGATTGCAGTACAAGAGAAAAACAGCCAAAAGTTTATGTCCCTTTGTAAGTTTAGGGAAAGCCACCTGAACAAGCCTGGCTTATTGCCTTATATATAAAAACTCTTTCGCTATCAAATCGGTCACATGGAAGGTGTGTAAGTACTGAAGTAACTATTTGGTCTTCTACTCAAAAAGTGTACCGTTCATCTAGTAATCTTACACCATTACACCACAAAAACTGCTACCAGCAGTTTACCAGCCTTATTTCACATCCAGTATGAAATAATCACAATGACTGTTTTTTTTCCTCTGTTCGTAAATGAGAGTTGGCTAGTGGGGGTGGGGGGTGATTATACATAGCTAATAATAAACGTTTCAAGTAAATCTGTGTGTACTATTTTTGCCAAGTAATTCTTAGGCTACTGGTTGTTAAACAAACAGTTTATGTCACCAGGCTTTTTAAGCCTGTTTTGTGTAATTATTCCTGAGTCATTTGGGCTTCCTACCAAGTCACCAATTAAGGGTAAAAAAAAACCCCTCATAAATCTGGCAACCCACAGTCAAAAATATCCCAAGTCAGTGCTCTGCTAAGAAAACATATGGTATCTGCTCTTGTGCAAATTCCTCTATAAGCTTCTAGCAGTAATAAGGGCACGTAACTTCTGTTGGTTGTGCCATCTAGTTCCTACATGAATCACGTTGCATATGCCCAGCGTTCACAGCTTTCCAAAGCAGCAGTAGCAAAAAATTTAAGGTGGATGCAAATCGGGGTAGTAAAATTAACAGGTGATTTTCAGTTACTTTCCTGCCACCAATCCTGGCTAAGGAAAATCCATAATACACTGGAGGAAAATTTTGCCACTTTCCCTATGTGGCGGGATAGGGTCACTTAGGGTCCTACTTTAAAGACTGACTTCCCATAGAAACTTGCTTTTGTTTCTTTCCCCACTCTTCTTCCCTACCAAAGCTTCTTCTACAGGTCCTGCCAGCCCTAGGTGAGAATATTCACCCCTGCCACGCACTCTGAGAAAAACGCCTTTCTCTTTCAGACGCCCTATCCACAGCCAGGCTCCCTGGCTCCAGGCTCCCAGGCTCCCTGGCTCCCAGGCTCCCAGGCTCCCTGGCTCCCTCTCCAGCTAGTACCTTCAAGCTGACGAGCCGAGTTGGTGCAGAGGATACTTGGCAAACAACTTCACAGTCACTGCAGTGAAATGGGCACGAGAACATCTCTTCAGAAGAATACCCATTTTAGCTGCCACTAGTTAGATATCGCTAACCGTCTTGAACTTAGGCCAACACCGCAGAACTTTATTGTGGTAATATGTAAGACACTGCAAGTGAAAAAAATCCAGCCACTGAGAGCTACTGGGAAGGCAGCCAGTTTGAGGTTAGGGTTTATCATCATTCACTTCTATGCAAGTATCACAGGTTAAAAAAAGCAAAGCAGAGCATCACAGTTGCAGTGATACCAGCATAGTAGTAGTTTTAAAAAAAAAAACAAACCAACCTCACAAGATTAACATGGAGCAGATTAGACCGCAGAAATACTGCTTTCTCATTTTCCCAGATTAAGAAAAAGCTTTTAAACATCAGATAAGGTTAAGAGATGCAACAAATGCTAAGTGAACAAGCTGAAGTCATGACCTCCTCTGCTCTAAGAGAACCATTCTCTCTCCTCTTTTTCTTCAGCCTATGAGCACAGCTTAAAGCTGAAAGAAATCATATTCCATACGCCACACACTTAGGCTGGCACAATAGTCAAACGACAACACAAAAAGTCATTCACAACATTGTCTTCAATATCAGACTTTAAGATATTCAATTAAAAGCAAAAGTATTGCTTGATATTTTTCTCGTTACCATAAGTTTTGGTTTGGTTTTATGTTTCTAAACAGGCCTGAGCTAATGCATGCAGTAAAAAAGAAACAGTATGCCTATTAGGAGATACCATATTGACGCTGCACAGGCTCCATCTTCCATTCTCCAATTATGTTCTTAGCCGCGGTCTATGTAGATGAATGGAGAAAGTCAGCAGCTAAAGGATTTCCTACAAAGTGGAAGCATTTCTCAGCAGAGTAAGCTGCAGCAGTCTTTTCATCTGTACTTACAGCTTTGACATTTGAGAGCTGCATTTTTTTTTTTTTCCATTTTAATATAGGACAAGGAAGGCATTGGTGCTTGGAAGCACATATCCCAGCAATGATCTGATTCGTTTATTCATCTTAAAAGCCCCCATCCGTTCTTGTTTCCAAAGGGGAAAAATGAAAATGTTATTCAGCCATTTCTGCCCAGCTGACAACTAGAACTGTCATTTAAGACCTTTTACCTTAGGAAAAAGAACCAATTGCCAAGTCCGCTTTAGAAAGGCATTGCATCATGAGAACTTGAAGTACATTCATAAATATATCCTTGGCACAGTTTAATTGAAAATATTTTAATATTACATATTAGTCAAAGCTTAACTATTAGGTACAAGTAACTCACTAAATAGACACACCCACTTAAGCAACCATATCAGTGATATTTATTTAAAATACTTTTGCTGAGGAAATTTGTTTCATAAGAGATGGTTTTTAAACAAATCAGCAAGGTTATGAAAAATAAAACAGAGACAAACTCTCTGGGGAGAAAAAGTTACAAAGAAAGCTTTTGCATATCAACAAAAACCCTCAGTCTTTCGATTTGCAGCCTGAGTCTCAGTCCCAACTTTTCAACCTTTTCCGTCTAATGAACCCCACTATCCATCTTTAGATCTGGTTTGTTCTTGTCGTTCTTCACTGAGTAGATGAAATATGTTAAGGTGTCCTTTTCATTCACTGGAATTGTCCTAAAATGGCAGCCAATTATCTATAAAGGAAGAATGCAAGGAAATTAAATAACCACTCTTCTATGCAGAAACTGAAGGTTCAGATTTAAATCAACTACATTAAACTTTAAAAGCTTGATCAAGAAGATTAAAAAAAGGAAAAGAAAAGCTACCTCTCTTCAAAAGTCTTTAATAGTCATAAAAAAGGTGAACAGGAACCATTTTACTCACAACTATGAACTAAATATAGCAGATTGTACTCTAATTTCCAAAGTAAAAAGCCCAGAAAAGTTTCAGAAAAAAGAGTTCTCAAAACAAGCATGGGGGTATCATTACATCTGTGTAGTTAAAGCTTGACTATGAGGCAAGTAATGACTACAGAGTATCAACAGAGCTGCAGCACAGAAATGGAGGCTACTGCTCATTATTCAGGCTGAGGGGGTGTGTGTCTATCACATCATGTACAGAAACATCTAAGACAATACAAGAATCTTTAAGAATTGAACATTCAGCTCTTCAAAACAGAGCTATCACTGAAAATTCACCACGCTGTAACCACTAAAATACGACAATCTCTAAACAGTTTTTGAATCACTTTTGTCATACCAAAAGCCTTTTCCTTCGTCAAAATGAACACCAGCTTTAAAAGAAAGCATGCAAAATGTTATACCTACCTGAGTCTGTTCTCTGGTTTTTTGCAGAATATTTTGGTAGATTAAAATTAGCAAGTGAGAAACATGGGACTGCTCATTTAACTACCACAGGATACAAGTATAAATGTTTAGCCCAATTAGCAAGTCAGACAGCTTTCCAATCCCCATCCCCCCAAAACTGACAGAGAAACAGTTTGACAGAGTCCTTTGAAGTGGACTTTAAGTAACAGCTAGAGGAGTGTCTTTTGTGCATGAGGACAGGCTACAAGGAATCACATGCACTGTAAACTAAGGAATTTCTGCAGCTACATCCCACAAATACCTGCAGGTCAGTCAAACAAAGCACGTGACAGGGGAAGCTTTGCCTGTTCGCATCAAGCGGGATAAGGAGCGTAAGCTAGCACCAACACCTCTTGAGATGTACCTAAAGCAGACCCCTAGAAATGCCAGCTCTGCAGAACAAAAACTGCTCGTGCTTCTTCAATTCACAGTCCTAACTCAAGAGCTAGCTGTACCTCAACTCACATAGAAGAAAAAAGATGACTGATTTTACATTCTTACTCGTACTGGCAGCAACACTATTCTTTTTACAGCTCAGCCTTGAGATCTCCCACACATTTAAGAACCTTGCCTTTAATCCACACAGATTAAGGGACAGACCAACAAAATGTCTGCACCAAATTAAAACTGGGTGTATCCCTGCACAAAAGTGAAAAAACAGTAGTTAACCTCCCTCATAAGAGATCACCAGTTCTCCCATGTATGTAATTGCATCTTTGCAGGGCAGAATAATTCCATTAAAGTTACACTCCCATGCAGCAAAGATACTCACATACAGCTGTACTCAGGCACAGCTTCAGCGCTTTTAGAAATATTGATACGAATTATGAAATTAGTTTATATCTTAAGTTCTGTTTTTCTGATCCCAGTAGTTTTAACATAATTATCGATAGAAGCCCGTTTTTCAGGTTTCCATACTTTAAAAACATAGGTGTTTCTGTGTATGTATCAACTAGCTTTGTAAAGCAGAGTCCGAACCTTGTTAGAAATTCACTGCCACCTCTCAGTTTCTAGTTCGTTGCAGCAGGACACTTCAGATCAAGGTTGCACAGACTATAAATCCATGATTTTATGATATTCAGGGACACACAGATCATCTTACTGTTTCAACTCAGTACTTCATGATTTTAAGCAGCACGCACTGCTTTTGGAAGTTGAGTCCCTCCTCTGGAAAGAACTTTTACTTTTGATTTACTTGGCTCAGAATCTGTGGCCAATGAAGGAAGCCAGATAAGCAGTTTCCTTTTGTTCTCCTACAATCCAGATTATGTATGCTCTTTATGCAAGGATCACATTGTATAGAAAACCACATGCCATAGCAAGTTGCATTTTCTATTATGGAACAAACACTCATACGTACTTCAACAAGCTGTGCTTTGTTAAGTCCTGGTCTGGTCTGTAGCTTGAAGTGTCTTTTGTACCTTCGAAGTGTGTTTACTTGTAACTGATATAAATCAACCTAGAAGAAAAGGGGGACAAGAGGAGGAAAACAATCTAATGTAACTGAAAAGGATTCAGTCATTAATAGTTTGCCTCTCAAAAACATTTCTGAAACTCACAGATACATAAGTGTAAACCATCAGCTCAGCAGACCTCATTTTGACAAAAAATAAACTCCACCCTGCACCATCCAGCAGAAAGGAAAACAGCCCAGCTCGACTTAATAGCACTTTATTGTTACTGAGCATGGCTCTGCCTCCCTTTAGCTGTGGACAATATTTGGAACTCATTATTGTACCTTAATCAGTTCTGGGATTTTTGTTTGTTCCCCAGTTCAAGCATAGTAACACAAAGCCCAGTAAGAACTTTCATATAACATCTATGAAGATGCAGATTCAAAGGAGGCCCCTATATGGTGATTTTGTCCACCAAATTTTACACAAGTTGCATGCAAGATACAGCACATCTGCACCATGCGATAGCACGTATTAGAACTGGAGAAAAAGTCTAGAGCACAAAGTTTTCTTGGCTTGAGGTAAAAAAAAAAACAAAACAGCTGCTCTTGCTCTCCAAACACATCCCTGCTACATAAGCACAATGCAAGAGTTATGTGCATGGGCATAGTTGTCCAAAACTATTTTTCAGTGAGTTGACAGTTCAGAGAATTGCACAAGGTCCTCCTAAGGATATAAATACACAACCTTAACCCAGTACTCCCTCAGTTTTGAATCCCATGAACTCCGATCAACAGTCACTTCTCCCAGCAACTGCTTACCCTCCCACCCTCCTTGACAAGGTAAGAGAGCTTAATCAGATGACTGAGTGGGCAAGCAAGCTGAGAAAGCAGGCTGAATGAGAAATTCTGCTAGATCAGTTGCAATTACAGTAGTATTCTCCAAACCCACTGCATTAAAGAGTGGTTAAAGCATTCACTTTTGCTTTAAATTAATTTAGCAGCCTTACTACAGAATGCTTAAACAACAGGGCTACTGCAAACTTGGTAACTTGGCCACACTTGATGTGATGCTGCCTTGCATGATAGAGGATGGGTATTGTTTAGTATTCTGAAGTTTACATGGCACAAATTCCACTTCCAAAGTCACAGTGGGGAACCCACACCCTAGAGCATCACACAGAGGCATAGCAGCAGCTTTCCGCCAAGTCCCAGAAGCTGGCAGTGCTGCGGAAGCCTCTTCCCCTCCTATAGGAATCACTTCTAACAGGTAATCACAGCCGTGACCGAGACAGAAACAGGAGTGCCTTACAAGTCTTCACAAGAATGATACTTTTTTTTCCTAAGTAAACTGGATAACAATTGCAAATAAAGAAGGTCAAGGGCCAACAGACATCTAAAGTATACAGTTATCACATGGGATGAACATACTGCCGTTGTCCAAACACCCAGCTGAAACTCAAAAATACTTCCCAGGCAGTTTTCATTCCTGCAGTGGTACAGTTTAAAAAAAGCTTGCTTTCTTATTCTAGAGATATCCATCGGTTGTGACATATTTTATAATTCTTGCAAACCTGTTTTCTCGTGCAAGAGAGCTGTGATTAGCACTGTGCCACACAGCTACCTGAAGTCACACAGAACATGAGATTTACACAAAACTTTTGAAGAAGCAATCCCACATATTTAACAGACAACACAGCCCAGCATCAAACTACTCCCAATCCCCTAAAATCCTCTTAGTCAGAGCCTTCAGACTGGAGCCACGTGCCTTTAGGCACAAAGTTTCATCACTTATACTGCTGATACCTTCAGATGCTGACCATAAGGATGCCATTAAATTAACACTTACAAAGAAATTTCTGAAGAATGCTTTTAAAAAAAAAATCCCCCTTAGAAGGGACCAGATAGGCATGACAGCCTCTGTTCAAAATTAGTACACTGAACAGCACCTGCTAAGCCAGGCTGTAGCAGAAATAATCCAGAGCACATGTAGGAAAAAGAGCCTTAGGTGCAGTCTCTCCCACTGTATTATGCAAAGGTTTGAAAGCTGCAGTTCACTTTTATAATGGGTGAGGTGTCACTGGTCTGCGACCAAGAAAACAGGTCAGAAAAGCACCATCCTTCTCCATTCCTTTCTAGCACAGGTCCCCAAACGTCTCTTCCCCCAACAAGGGGCAAAACCAAAATCAAACCTTCCTAGTTACACTAAGGCAGCAGAATAACCGCAAGAGCCATCTGCAACACATTTAGCACAGAAGGAAAGGATCGGAGGGACAGGGCAGCAAAGCATTTATATCCCAAATCCTATATGCAATTCCCTTCAAGCTGTCAACTCCGCAGAAGACAGACTTTGCCGATATGTTACAAAGCACCACTTTGGAGAAGAAGCATGAAGAAGGAGGAACTTGAAAACAGCAATTTCTGAGAGAACTAGCAGACACTTAAAAATAAGTTACAGAATATTGTTTGTTCTACTTCGCACAATTAATACAGAAAATATACTCCAGAATTCAGTTAGTTTTTGTTATACTAAAAACTGAATCAATCAGGAATCTTCCCTTTCCCACACACCCCAAAATAAGCAGAGTTGTAAGGGTAGAAAAGTGCTGACTCAGTAGTAGTGAAAAACAAGCTTAACACAAAAATTAGGAAAAAAAGCAACTATTTAGCTACCTCTGGCGTGTCAATGTCTTGCACTGGTGAGTCACCGTCATCATCGCTGCCTTTCCTCTTTCTTCTATTTCTCACACTCTGAATTAAGTTTTTGTGAAAGTCACAAATATACAGATGTCTTGCCTAAAAAGAATAGTACAGCGTCTTTCAATCAAACCCACGTAAGAATCTCCCAGACATGATATAAATGCATGTACAGACACAACCCTTCAGCAACCACAGTCACGTTCACTGACTCGAGGAAGCTTTTCTGCTGGATTCTTCTAAATAAATGTGTTATGCTACGGATCGCTGCCACCGGTTTGGCCCAAAGGATGCTGAAGGGCTGCAATCGACTGATTTTGCAGTAACAGGCTGCAGACACACGCGAGTATGACGCTCCCACTGGCCACTCACCGCAATTCGGGGATCGGGAAGCACAGAACAAAACCCAAGCTTTCGGTTGTTCTTTGGAGAGCGAAAAGCCGGCTCTCATTTCCCATCCGTAGCCCCCCATCCTTGTTTTACTTCCACTACCTAGGCGAGGTCAAGCAACACACACTGATTTTTTTTCTTTCTTTCTTTTTTAAAAGTTTCCCTTTGTACGGATCTGCACGCTTTGGGAGACCTCTTGGGAGCGTACCAACCCCGATTTTCAGAGCTGCGCGCTTTTACATGAATGAAAGCACGGGGCTGCGTCCACGGACCACCTCAAGCCCGGGGCCGGGGCAGCGGGTCGGGGAGGGGCGTGTGCGTGTGTCCCTCGGGGCCTACGAAGCCGGGGCCGAGGCGCGGAGCAGTCACGCCGGCTGCTGCGCGTTTTAAGCTGCTTTGGCCCCGCGCCGGGGAAACACTCCTACGGTGCCGGGCAAGGGCAAAC